ATGAACATCAAATATACTCTAACATAAACATTTATACATATAGACGATAGTAAGTGAGATGATCAATAGAAAAGATACTGTCTACGCAAACGACATAACGTGTTTCTTGAGTATCGATAAAATAAGCGAAACTCCCTTCAGACCGTGTAGTTGATTCCCAACGAACGATACGACATTACATTAGGCTTATTCCACAGAAAGGTTACTGTTTTCACATTACGTCTTACACAGTCTTAAGAATGCTATTGTTTAACCAGCCAGCAAACAGCACTACACGTAACTATTTACATTTGCAAGGCTCTCTAATTAATCAATTACAATACACAAGTACATAATGAAGAATTTATTTACCTATTTAGGTAAGGTTAAACATTATTAAATCAGCGGTGGGCACAACTTAATCGTTTTATGACACTTAATTATGTTTCACATTACGTATTTCTACTAATATCTAAATATCAGTTTCGTATCTTTGTAATTATCAAACTATAAAGTATTCACTTTCCAATAGTTTTCTCGTTTCTATAAAGACGGAACAGACCAGAAATCTAAAGCCTTATTCATTCGAGTCTTAAGTCGTGGACAAGATATCCTATTGTTCTTATCGTGAACTAGCATAGTACTCATGTTATTGAGGTCGTTCGTTTGTGTAGCCAATACGGAGCACGATAAATAAGTAGGCATAATACGTACCTTCAGAATGCCAACTAAATATGAAAAGAGTAAATATATCCGTGAGTACTCATCTCACTAGTCTAAGGAAAATTACTAACAAAACTAAAATTTTGGTTAGTCACAAACTTCATTCAATTTCAGATTCCCATGCATTACGCGTTATCTTCTTGAGTGACAGTTGAGAAAACTTTATTTGATCATTTTAACAGCACTACTAATGCCTTAGGCATTCACGTCAGGTTGAAAACATTCATACATTAGGATGTGGTTGCAAGGTTATTACGAAAAGCATGTAAAAAACATTCTAGAATTATTTTCTTCTTAATGTCCTCTCACGCTTCGTATACTTTCATTCAAGTTCGTGATAATTTGCAACGTAGCCACTTTCAAACGCACCAGACAGACAAAAACTAACTAACAAAACTTTATAAATGAGTATTCATCTTGATAAATTGGTTTAATTTACAAAATGATACACATAGGCACTTCCATTTTCTTTTTAGCTTTGTTTGGTTTGATATAGTAACTGACATTATTTATGATTAAGACTAACTATTTTTATCCATTAAATTACTTTCAAAAATAAACAAATTTGTAAAAGAAAACTTTATACAATTAGACGGCAATAACTGTAACAGATGGATATTCATAACAGGCCTGAACCGCTTCTGACCAGGACAAAAAATGGTAAAACTTTTTCAGTGCTTCATTCAAATGAGATTGAGTAGACTCTGATATCTAACGTCTGGAATTGGAACACAATTAAAAGGACAAATCGTGACGCATTATAAGGTATAGTTAAGAATATCTGCGACGGCGCAGTGCAGTGCCGTCGTGTGGAGCATTCTGATTGCGTAACGCGATCATGCGCCGACGAGCCACGACCACCGGCTCATGCTCAGCATCCACGGAGCTATTTCTATTCACTGCCTCTAACAATACACATTAAACCAAATACAAATGGGTAATGAAGGCACATTCAAGTTTCTGAATCGAAGCGAACAATGTCCTCCAACGTACTATTTCAAGGAAAAAGTAAATTGTTTTCAAAACAAAGCTTGTTATTATTTCCATTGGTTGTACCTAATGTATTTTCTCGCAATGTTAGTAGCCTGATTGAAGTTTTCAAAAAGTATGTACATACTTATATTAGTTTAATGTCGTGGTGGCCCGGAGGTTAAGGAGCCCGCTTCTCATGCATGAGGGTGTGGGTTCGAAACCTGGCAAGTACCAATGTGACTTTTTCCAAGTTATATGTACTTTCTATGATTATTTAGACACCACTGACATACGGTGAAGGTAAACATCGTGAGGAAACCTGGACTTATAATTTCTAATTGTAAGTTTGAAATCGCCAACCCGCATTGAGCAAGCGTGGTGGTTAATGCTCAAACCTTCTCCGTATGAGAAGAGGCCTTTGCTCAGCGGTGGGCACTTATAGGCTGATGATGATGATATTAGTTTAAATGTTAGTTGAGTGTTATGCACAGATTTTTTCAATAATTTTCTGATGTTTAATTCTTTTTTTTGCGCGTACGCAAGAAATATCTACTTAGCTTCTTGGTACCTATAAGTTTAGTCACTAGATTATAAATGAATTCACCGAAACATATCTACTTCTCTAATCCGATTTTCCATTTTATTTGGTGAGTAGCCATAGGTAAGGTAGGTTAGACTTTTCATTCAATGCAGATACAATATAAAAGTTTTTTTTTATAATTATCAAACAATCTTTCAAATATATATAGTATGTTTCTGAAGAAAGAAACTAATAGATAAGATACCGTATGTATAATTTTAAGAGAGCTACAGAAGACTGTAGCAGGGTCATAAATTAGACCAGAATTGAAAAGAAAGGGTTTATAACTAATCCAGCAATTATAAATGCAACATTATTTAGTGGTATGTCTTCAAGTACAGTATATAAAGGAGGCTATATTTCTTGAAAGAGTGCAGACCAAGCGGCGGCGGCGGCGCAGTGATGTCACGAATTGAAAAACGGCATTCGAGTTCGACTGAAGGTAGTGCTTCGAGCTGCGAACAATACACGCTCCCCTTGCCGCCGCCTAACAAGCTCCATCACCTTCATGCCATCTCATTGTACTATCGCTACGGGCTAATTCGTACTGTGACGTTATATCCTTTGTCCAATTCAACACTACTCTCAAGGTAACCGCAGCCCGCTACAAAATACTAAAGACAATAAAATACTTATCGCTGAGATATCGCTAAATGCTTTAATAACTGCAAATCTGCTTACAATTAGGATCAAAGCTGTTCCATCGAGATTATTGGTACAACGGTATTTTTTTCGAAAAGTTTTCCGGTGGATTGTTGGTTTTTATAGGTTTTTTTAATAAAATGCCTCAAGCAATAGGGTCAAATCAATAAGTGGAATAAGTTTTATATAATTTTTGATAATGCCAATAGGTGTCGATGCTGTTTAAAGCAATGAAATTCATGGCCAAGCTGCTACCGTATTATACTTGTTGTGACATCAGGTAGAAGTTTCGTATGCATATATTTTTAACAGAAAAGAAGATAGGAAGTATATCGAGACCACATACTTATAAAATAGCATGACGAAAACATCAACAAACACACCTTACATAAAACTAAGCTGCAATAAAGTGGCTAAATTTTACTACAATTCTAGGAATATCTATATGCAATCTCTGTAGAGGTCGGTACACAAGAAGTATTTATTATAAAGTACACCAACAACCCATAAAGTTAATTGTGAACCGGATATAATAAGACAACTGTACCTATAAACATGAGTAGGTACTTGCCGCGGACCCGGGTCCGTAAGACGGCAAGTTTTTCTTCCGTTCATACCTGACTTGTAATTTAGCTTAAACGTTTTTAATAGTATTGACACGAATTTTGAATGACACAAAATCAGATCAGTGAAGACAAAACTTATTCAGGTTTAAATAACTCTTATTGTTCTTATTACTCTTTGTATGTATATATCAATATTTTTTAAATATCACCTATTCACGAATAGATAAAAGCTTAAAGTATGGTTGCTTTTAGTTTTGTTAAAAATTAAAAAGACTTATTTTGTATCAGATTCCATCATAATTTAAAAAGTTTATTATGAATAAGTTTTGGTGCGTATTATGTATAATTATATACACTTACTTGGTCTAGAACATAGCCGTGTCTGTGAATAATTAAATAAAACATCCAATGCTACATCTCCTGTTAGTACACAAAGCCACGTGTTTTAATAAATATGTACATAGCACTTTTTCGCAGATCACATTAGAAGTGTCTTTTATTTTATGTTTTATTTTATTTATTATATTTTAATTTATTTTATGTTTATAACTAGCTGATAACGTATATGCTCTTCCCAATCTCTTACTTCTCACTATCCGCAGGTAACAATGATACACACACGGTACATTTCTATGTAAACATGACAGTTATGATGATTATAATTATTATCAGGCAGGCTTTATTCAGCTTCTCTCACGAAATCTATGCATGTGTCCATTACCTACATTTCATATGGTCAATCGTGAGAAAAATATAGAGAAAATTTAACGTATAGATACTTACTGTATGTCATATTGTATGTATGTAGTGCGCAATGTTCGCACGAACTGAATAGTAGGTGCTACTGCGCGTTGAAGTCTTTTGAACACAAAATGACACGGCGCGCAACACAATGCCGTGCGGTTAACATAAATGTGATCGCAGGATTATGTTGTCTGATATTTACATGTTCATTTGTGATTTAACTAACAAGTAACCAAATGCATTACAATATACAGCAGATACAGCATGTTTATAGTATCTTAATAATATCTAGTTTCGGAATTATTGCCTAAAGTCTATATAGTGTATATTAGATACACTATAATCATTGATCTGCTTTCAAACAACCAGTAAAACTGAACAGAACTCAAAGACTTACTTAAACATTATTATATTCTTATTATGGCAAGCTCCGGGCGTAATAACCAATGCAACGTATAAGGTAAACTATACAACAATTGCTTCACCGCCTACACTTAAACTCTCTGACTGTTTCATTAAAAAATTACATACTTTTTTCTCCATCCGTGTTCATAAATGTCAATATTATTATCAACCAAATGATAATTTCTTCACTCATGGAAACATTAATTTAGCAATAGTTCTCGCAATCGCTATACTGGTTTAATGAAAACTTAAATATTACAGCTAATGCATATTTATATCAGATCCCTGCGAAGTAAAACATCTTAATAGTAATATCCTACAACTGTGTTAGTTTACTTCTTAGGTATAAATAATAAATGGTAAATACATAATAGAAATTGAAAACTCACCTTCGTCTATGATGAAGCGATCCAATAAATATTCTGAAATCGGATTAACACTCCAGTGAAATAAGCACGAGTCGTAGCACTTAGTCTGTGAGCAAGCGAACGCGACTAGGGTCGTGTTCATGAACAGGCGTCCGCGTGGGGGAGCACAGGGTAGTGGGTCCTGGGACAGTCCAGGGTGTCGGCTGCGGAGAGCTTCGGGGTGCCGGCGGCGCGCGGGTGGCGGTCCAGCGTCCGGCCGCACTACGCGCCTCGCAACGGTAAACTGGCTGGCAGCGCCGACACAGCCTCTCCCTCGCTTGTATGAGTGCCTCCAACCTCCCTCCCGAACAAATAGTACCGTACGCCGCGCCGCGCTTGTGTCTCGCTAACATTTATTATACTTTTATTAGTGTTCGCGTGTGCGCACAAGTGTGCGTCACGCCGACACGCCGCTACGTGACGCGCCGTGAGCCTGTGTGGCTGTTGGAGTAGGTAAAGTAACTACCTATGCGTGCTTTGATCTTACGATTCGGTATGCACGGCCGCGCGGGCGCACGTACCGCCGCGGCTATACTTTACTTCTATAATATCTAGTCAATAATTTTAGTTTTGGTTTGTGCAACACCACACGTCGTGTCGACTCAACTATCTAGGCTAGTAACCGGTATACACAACCATAAGTATCTTCACTTAAGAAATATTTATTTACGTAATCACTATGGACTCATAACCCATCAATAAAACCGCAATAGTTTTAATTACACGTTAGGATCCAACTTCTTTAACACAAAAACAATAAGGTCATACAGCTGTAACAGAGAGATTAAGTTATTGTGCTATGCCATTTAATAGGGGGACAAATGGGTTGTTTGCCCATTAGAAAACAAATTATTTCAACTTAAAACGTGTAAATTAATTACCGATAAGATATATTTAAAATTCACATTTCTTTATATTTCTAGATTGGACGTAAACATATTATGACGTCACAAACATCTTTTTCATACAAGATTGTCTATATTGTCATAGTAATGAATTTGAGTAAGTACTTAAAAACTACCCGGTACTTCGAAGTCATTCGAACGGACAAAATGAATGTTTCACCGTTAATAGTTAAGGACCTACGACAATATTATTTCTATAAAGTTTTATAAAGAAAACAGCTAAACTAGATTTATCATTTGATGTAGGTACATATATAAAAGAAAATTAATCTTCATTGTCGTCACTACAAAAGCTAAGATTAGTACTTGTATAGATTACTTACATATCTAAAACACAATTTAATTAATTTATGACAAATTCAAATAATAATATGTATAAGTGAATACAGTTTCGGGAGTTTTCAACTACATACTTAGTCAAATTCAATACTTTTACCAAAGTGTAAAGGCCATTGCTCTGCTTTCCTTCAGTGTTGGCCCTGGAGCCAAGAGTATCGGAAGTATATTTATAGTCGTCATTATCATGAGTAAACTTCTAAACAATCTTAGTTTTATTTTACAGCGGATTAGCTGCAGAATAGATATATTAAAAAAAGAATCAGATTTTGAGGTTATATTTTAGCAATAACATTTTAAGTGTAATTTTTCAAAGCTCTCTGTAATTTTTAAGATCCAAGCTAAATAACTATCGAAAAAGCTACTTTTGAACATTATAGGTAGGTAAGTACCTAGATATGAAACCAGATAAATAGTTACCAGTTGCCAGAGAAAATGGCGACTACTAATGTTTTAATACCATTAAATGCACATTTTGGAATACAGCTTGTCCGTGTTAAAAAAATGTTGGCAACTTAAATAATAAAATAGACTATTAATTATCGTGTATTCAGATTCTCTTTATTGCACAGGGCCAATTTGGAGATTGTCTTTTGATTGAAAAAGTTGTGACGTTATATTTTTTATATTTGAAATAACACACTTATTTGTCATCTGATTAAAAAAATACGAATATTTCATAAATCGTAAAATTAACGAACGAAGGTGTGAATATTTTTAAATACTTTTATAGTTTGAAAGTTGAAATAATTTCTTTTTTACTGAGGAATCTACTAACTGAACTCTAATTGTTAGGTACTTCTACTATTTACTAACTTTTATATTATATGTTCTACTATTTAGTGGTACGATGAGGAACATAATTATTGTTATTATTTACATGTAATATGGGTATGCATTACCTACATAACTTGTTATGTGGTTGGGTCTGTTGTCATCCAATACTATTTTCATTGACGGACAGACATATTGATGGATTAAAGCACGGCCTCACTCTTATACTTAAACGTAAAATTTGGAGGACGTTGTAGATTTCTTTGACCATATAATGCATACATCTTATGAAAATATATCCCGTAAGAGATGAATTGCATGTGTTTTGCTCCATTAATTCGATAGCTTTTTCTCGTGTAAGTATTGATAAGGCAATTAAATGGACGATTGTAAGCCAAGTAATAATGCTATTAACGTAAAACAATTGTTACAATCCTGTGCAGAGATTTGAATAAAAAATACGCTAGTAAGTAGGTCTGTAGGTATAGGTAGAAGTATTTACTTACTTCGCGGCACAAATAAATGCCAAGTAGGTACAAAGCAACGTGATATTTAAAATCACTCGACCTAATCTAGCGCTCAAGTGCCGCCTACAATAATGGTTTATATCTTTTTATGAATATCGTGCCTACCTACCTTCATGAATCATGTTATGATGCCAAAATAAACTGTAACAGTGGCACTGCCGATCCTAGATGGACAAGATTGTTAACGTTACTCCTTTCTGATGTTCAGAGATAATCGTGAGAAGATGAGGACCATACGTGCTACTATTTAGAGTAAAGTTTTCTTTTATTTGCTTTGTGCTAAACAAAATGCAAATACTCGCCTAAAGGACTTGCGAGTTTTTAGTGTATTTACCAACAATTTATTTCGTCTTATAGATAACTTAATAAACAAGCTGTTGCTCGGTCGACCTGAACTAACTAATAATTGTAAAATCGAAACGTCAGAATTATCCACTTCTAATTGTTTTGTCGTAGTGGCCGGACGTTTATGAAGGTAACTTTTTCCGTGTTATATGTTCTTTCTAAGATTATTAAGACACCACTGACATACAGTGAAAGAAAACATCGTGAGGCAACCTGGACTTATAATTTCTAATTATCTATAAGTTTGAAATCGCCAATCCGCCTTGAGCAAGCGTGGTGATTAATGCTTAATCATCTTCTTCGTGTGAAAAGAGGCCTTTGCGGTGCTTAGGTACTAATTGATTATCGTGGATGACAGCTCTTCAAATTGTTTAGGTACGTAAACAATTCAATATTTGTTTGACAACACATTTGCGATTCGCATGCCCATTGTGTAAAAAAGCACCTTAAAGCGAGCTGTTTTGCTTACTACTTATGTTTATTAAGGATAGAAGTAAAAAACTTCTTTCTTTTTAGCTGCAGGAGGTTAAAGAACTGCCAAAATATATTATTACCTAAGTCAAGGGACCAACATTAATTTCTACCTAACAAGATAGTTTTTAGAAGTAGAAAATATTGTATAGGTAAGTAATTTTTCCGATAAACTCAAGGATGATCAGACAAGATGATGAGGATGAACAGTACCTACCTATGTACACTATGAACGCTGTACAGAGTAAAAATAAACATAAAAACCTGATTATAAAGTGTAGGTATTATTAATTGTGATTAATCTATAGAAACACGTTTAGGCGTCTTCTTTTAATAACATTTGAATTTGGAATAGGTGAACTGAAACGCTTGAAATTAAACATTTCTAATGTTTTGGTTTCACAAAATCTAAAGATCATAAACATACCTAATAATAAAAGGCACTGCACGGTTGGCGTGGTGGCTGGCCAACTGAGACCAAAAACAGACCTGCTACAGCAATTTGTGGATCACACAAAGTGTTGTTCCATGCCCGAATCGTACCCGCGACTCGTTGCATAGCAGCCAATATTATACATGTTCTTTTTTTTATTAATTGCAATCCGTGCAGTCAATTATGAATGAATATTAAGTAAAAATAGTAAGTAATATTTAAGCACTACCACTACTAAGTCCGGATTGAAACCGAGTACCTAAATACCTACCAATTTTTCAATTAGGTACCTATACTTAACTTATTCAAAATTATTTTAATAATATGTTTATTTAGACAGCCCTGGAATAAGTTATAAGTCACCTTTGGCGAGCGTGATAATATATTATCCGTGTAAGAAGAACCTTTTGGTTAGTAGTAAGAACGTAGGTATAGTACGACGAAAGTAGGTTTTATTTGAAAAAAATATTCAAATATTACACTCTTTTCATTATCTCACTGACTGACTAGGACTAGATTGGACATATAGGTATTCGTAGGTATTCCGATTTCTAAAGTTACGAAAACAAGACGTGGTTAAATGTTAGCTAAATAATAGTATTAAAACATGCCGCTAGATGGCACGACTACCTTGTATGAAGTTTTTAATTGGGTACTGATTCAAATCTTAAATGGTTTTTTAGCTTATATTGCTGAAATAAACTATAAGGTTATTTACATTAATATAAATTAATTGCTTGAGGTCAATATTTAATGTGGCAATAACAAGTAATCAATTATTTTTGTGATTATCTGTCTACACTTTTTTTATTAATCTGGCATCCCTGCCGGGTGTGTGAGCGACGTACGAATTGTGTATACTGTAATTTACTTAATTTTAAGTGTAAACAATGAGTTTTGTAAATTGTTTATTCGTGCGATATTGAAAATATTCCTAATCTCATTGCCAATGTCGTAATTTAGGAGTTTTATACGCTTTTTATATTGATGTGAGGTTCTCGTGCTTTGTCTTCGTGTGTGACAATATACTCAAAATGGCGCATCAACTGGCACCGTCTGTAAATTGTTCATTGGACGACATTGACCTCAGTGCACTAAAGGTAAACTTTTAAAGTAAACTATTGCTATTATTTACACATCCCGAATATCCAGAAGGCAGGGGATCCCTCAACTTCCAGAAAAAAGTAATCAAAGGGCAATGATCTCACAGGGCGTGAATCATAAGTGAAGGTTTACTTGAAATGGTATAATAATCTTTTTATGCTATTTCACTTAATTTATGAATTATTTCAGGATCCCGCTGGTATATTTGAACTCATTGAAGTTGTCGGAAATGGCACTTATGGACAAGTATACAAGGTATGTAATGGGTCAACAGCAATTTAGTTAGAACTATAGCCGTATATATATAATCGAATCTATCAGCCAATAATTGATTGCTTTTATGAACTTATCCTCGGCCTGCTTACATAGTGTAACACATGACACGGTGCTAGTAAAAATTAACTTAATAGGC